AACCGAGCATCGAGGTTCGGAGTGGAGTGTCTAGAGTCTAGAGTCCGGCTTGCAGCGTCGCGTATGTAGCGCCAATTACACAAAGCCAAGTTGCGCAGTTGCAACTGCTGCAACATTTGCGAGAGACAAAATCTGGAAATCTGCAAAGCAAAGCAAAGCAAAGCGAACCGAAAAAAAAGGCCACCACAAAATGCCATTTGACCAAGATGGGTCCGAGATGATAAAGCGAGCGGAGCGGTTCGCCCCGACTGCACTGCCACAGACGTGGGCGCCAAACAATTCAATGCAAAGAGGCAATTAAAGCCCCAGCCCAGAGAGATGTACCCCGCAGGCCCCTTCCCCTTCCCTAATCCCATGGACCAAGCACACATCGAATTAATTTGCGGTGCATTTTAGTTTACAACTTTGTAATTAATTTGCAAAAAGGGACAAACAGACAGCAAGAGAGAGAGAGAGAGACAGAGCCATTGGGTGACATTTGGAACACCCGCTGGAGCCTCCTTGCTCCTCCCCATCATTGTGACATTTGCGTGGCTGCTGCTGCTGCATGGCTGATGTCTTCATGGTCTTTAGAGCAGGCGATACTTGATGGCACGCAGCATGGGGAAGCGATCGGTGGTGCACTGGCCGCGGAAGTCATCCTGCGTCAGATCGAAGAAGGCCACGCCGCCCAGATTCTTGGAGCGCACATACGAGGCCTTGCTGGACGCCGAGTCGGGATCGTCGTAGCTGATCCACAGACCGTGCTCGCCGTTGGAGTCGGCGGCACGGAAGGCGTAGCTGCCGTAGCGCTTGGTGGGGTCGAGCACGCGGCGCACAGGAGCGTCGGCTCCTTTGGCATTCGCATTGCTGGGATTTGGCATCAGCTGACAGATCTCGGCCCAGTTCAGCATTCCCTCCGACTTGCTCTGACGACCGGCCGGTGCAGCGCCCTCTGTGGCGGCCACCACCGGCAAGCCCGTGTCCCCAGAGTCGGCGGACAGCTTCCAGGCCCTGCCATATGAGGCAATGCCGATGTTCAGCTTGTTGGCGGGCACGCGCTGCAGCAGCCAGTGCTCCAGCTGATAGTTGACATTGTAGTGGCCCAGACGATTCTGGCCAAAGGCCTCGTACAGCGGCGCTGAGAAGTCGGCTTCTTCGGGATTGCGTTGGGGAGTGAGGAAATCAAAGGTGCCCAGATTGATAAAGTCCAAGCTGGCCGCAATGGCAGGGGCATCGTAGTACCCTACATATGGGAAGAGACAATTGCTTAAGAAGATGTTTCTGCAGCAGACTGTACAGACTGTATGCACCACTTACAGCTGGAGTTAACATTGGGCAGGACAGTGAGACTCAACAGCAGATCGTTGGCCTTGAAGGCACTGCTCAGATCCTTAATGAGAGCCGTCAACTGGGACTTGTGCGTCTCCGAATCGGCATCCACAATGTAGTCGCCGGTGAAGAACTTCTTGAAGCTCTTCCAGGTCGAGCCCAGGTCCCCGTGCACCTTGCGTGGCTTATTCCTGGGCAGCTGCAGGGCCAGATCCAAGCCATCAAAGTTGAAGCGACGCACCACATCGCGAGCGGACTCAATGAAGCGACGGTGACCTTGCTGTCCAGACTCCAAGAGCTTGATGTATTGATTACCCTCGTTCTGGTCGGCATCGCCGCCCACACTCAGCAGGAACTTGATGTGCGGATAGCGCTCCTTGAGCGCCGTGAACTGGGCCAAGTGCCGCTGCTCGTAGTCCAGCCGCTTGTTGATGCTCTGCAGCTCCGAGTTATCCGCATTGACACCCGCATAGCCGTAGATTATATGTGTGCAAAACTGCAGTGCCAATTCCATATCCGTCATTGTAAATTGAGCCAGGCCTTGGGTGGGGGTAGGGGAGAGGCAGGTTTAAATTGGGGGGAGAGCAACAAAACATTCGAGCACTCACCCTGACGCTGGAAGCCCTGCGAGTCATAGAAGCACACCAGATTAGGAGCCGCGCTCACCGACGACAGCGATGCCAAGAGCATCGTGACACTCAGCCCCAAGCCGAGCCACAGAGAGCGGCGGCACATCATCGTGTAGACTTAGAGAGAGGCTTAGTACGGGAGGAGAGATTCACGAGGGCGAATTAGGCAGGTGATATTTATGTCCGTCTCTGGCGAGATGCGAAACAAAACTGAATTCAAATGGCACTGCAAATGGATTGTGTAGAGCTTTTGTAGAGTCGTCTCCGCGTTTCCCCGAACCGTACACCGTAAACGAATCGTATCGTACAATGGGCGGACAGCGAAACGTAATTCGTGGGACTTATTATCAAGAAATTTCAACGAAATTGTTTGCGATCAAGTGACAGGCTGACACTGAGTTCAATGAGATCACTCTGGCGCGCGGGTAATTTACACAGTAGAAACAGCGATACGTATACCCACAGTTTACTTTAAGTTTACTTCCAGTTTACTCGAGCGATAATGCCCAGCGACTCATTGTTTAAATACGCAAATCTTCAGCAGCTATTTATGGGCCGGGAAGTAGCTGGGCTGGTGATAAGTCTCCACTATATAAGACTCTGCCAAGGTGTCGACGAATTAGCAAGGCCGCTGCTGCGACGACTCATATGTACCCGGCTGGGGGATAAATATTTTGACCGAATTTTGGCTCACAGATTACCGAAATTATTGCGATTACAAGGCTAAATAATCGAAGAACTTGAAATTTATAAGAAAAAGAGCACAGAACTAATTTTGAAAACGAAAATGAGTAGTTTCAAAGCTGCCTAACAAATCACTGGCCTATTTAGTTTGGAAATTTATTTTTGTAGATTTTTGTGGCACACTTGACACTCGACAAAAGGCAACTGCCTAGAAAATTCTAGGAAAACTATTAGGTAAATATTTGTCCAGCTTACAGTACTGCCCCCCTGATATAGAATGCAGAAATAATTAAAATAAAATCAAACTTTATTACAATTAATCCTCCAAGTACAAAAATCTCCTTCAAATTTCATATTTACAAACGATATTTGACGGCGCGCAGAATGGGATACTTATCGCCCGTGCACTGGCCACGGAAATCATCGTAGCTCAGATCGAACAGAGCCACGCCGCCCAGATTCTTGACACGTGCATATGCCGCCTTGTTGGAGGCGCCATCGGGATCCTCATAGCTCACCCAGATGCCCTCGGTGACGGCACCGTCCAAGGGACGAAAAGCATAGCTGCCGTAGCGCTTGGTGGGATCGGTGACACGACGCAGTGGCGAATCATTACCCTTGAGATATTGATTCTGGGGATTGACCAGCTTGCCACAGATCTCGGCGTAGCTGAGAAGACCGGGCTTCTGGGACTGTGAGCCCTCCTTGGCGGCACCATCCGTGTGCGGCACCACTGGGACACCCTCCAGACCCGAATCGGGTGTGAGTTTCCAGGCATTGCCGTAGGTGGACACGCCCAGATTGAGTTTGCTGGAGGGGAAGCCCTGCTGCAGCCAGTAGTTCACCTGGTAGTCGGCATTGTAGTGGGCCAGACGATCCTTTGACTCTGGATTGTAGATGGGTGCGGTGAAGTCAGCCTCCTCGGGATTACGGGCGGGCGTAAGGAAATCAAAAGCGGCCAAGTTCACAAAGTCCACCAGGCCGTTTAGGGCGGGTATATCAAAGTACCCTAAGGGTGGCAGTCAGATTGCAGATATATCTGTATTCGAAGGGGACAACTATTTGCTACTCACACGTAGAGTTCACGTTGGGAAGCACAGTCAAGCTGAGCAGCAGGCCATCGGCTCGGAGGGAGTCCTTCACATCGCGCACAAATGCCGTGAACTGTTCCTTGTGCAGAGCCGCCTGTGGATCGACGATAAAGTCACCCGTGAAGAGTTTCTTGATGCTCTTCCAGGCGGTGGCGACATCGCCATGCACCTTTCTCGGCTTGTTCCTGGGGAACTGATAGGCCAGGTCCAGGCCATCGAATCCATAGTTCTTCACCAGGGCAAAGGCCGACTGAATGAAGCCAACCTGTCGCACCTTCTCGCCCTCCAGCAGCTCAATATACTTGTTGGGATGCTCCACATCGATGTCACGATCACCGCCCACACTCAGCAGCACCTTCAGATGTGGATTCTTGCGCTTGAGGGCTGTCACCTCCGAGTACTGATGCTTGTAGATGTCCAGATTCTCGTTAAGGCTGTGCGCCTGGTAGTTGTCCGCCCGTAGACCCGCATAGCCGTACACCAGATGCGTGCAAAATTGCAAAGCGATCTCCAAGTCGGGATTTAGCAGCTTGCCCAAACCTGCAAAGCGTATGGAGGGGTGTGGTGTGGGGTTATTGTGGTTGGGTTGGGTTGGGTATTTCGCTTAATTTAATATGCATAAGATGCACGACAAATTGCAGTGCAGTCCCCTGACAATGGCTTGAATGACAAATAATTGTCAGCTCGACAGCATGGAGAGCGAGCGCATTGCTTGACACTATCTGAGAGCGGACAAGCGGACATGCGGACAAGCGGACAGGCGGACAAGCGGACACTCTCCCTCTCCACTCAACAAAACTGCCGCCACCGCAAGCGAAGATCTTTTTGCCCTCCGTCTCTCTCTCTCTCTGCATTGAGCTGTCTCTCGTGGCCATGCCCCAACCCCACCGCACTGTGCGGCTTGTCATCTCCATTGTCTCGCCGTTTTCAGTGGCTTAATTGAACGCCAACAGTGTGAGCCCAGCGAGCGGTTCATTGTTGTTCAGTTGGGTGCGTGGCACAGTGGGTGTCAAAAGTTCTCTAGGGATGTCTGTGTTGAAGTTCTTATAAATTCAGAAGCTTCAGAATTATCGCTGCGATATTTTTTTTCGTTTAATTTTCACCACTGAAATCTAAAATAAATCCCAAGTATGCCATTTTCTATATATATTTCTGGATAAGCTTATTTTGACTTATATTATTGACCTATTTGTTGATGGTCAACCCACTGTGCAACGCTGCTGAGTCACTTGCTGCTCTGCTTGCCACTTGTTTCAATCTCTGCAAGCGTCAAGCCGCCTCTGCCTGTTGGGGCAGTTGTCGTGTTGGACTCGCTGTGTGTTGTACGCTCTGGTTTTCATTTTTCAAAAACAGATCACATCCGATCCGATCAGTTTCAGTGCATCAAAATACTTAACTCATTGCCGTATTTGTGGCCTATCATTCCATAATTACTGCCCATTATTATTGTTTGGTAAGTGAACTGAAAACTCAAAACTCAAACTCTAATTAGCTTTTAAGACGTACAACCCTGTTTACGGTCTTTTGTCTGCATCCACAACAGAGCCTCAGCGGGAGAGCAGATCAGAGCAGAGCAGAGCAGAGTTTCTCTCTCTCTCAGAGTCGTCGCTCTCTTTGGGTGAAAAAAAACTTGTCCGATAAGCCACTGACCTCTCCCCCGACAGTGGGCTCCTGATTGAGCAGAACTAGATTTCGCCTCTCCGTTTCGGTTTCGGTTTCAGTTTCTCTATCTATCTGGCTGTGCGATAAGCATTCAGAATTGAATTGAATTAATTCCCAGTTTTGTTTTGAATACACAAATGGTTATGTAACTTGATTAGCGGGTATTTTTTTGTTTGTGGTTTTTTAGAGGTGTGTGAATTTGGCACATGCTAATCAAAGTATTTATTTATGTTGCGCTCGTTTTAGAGGGCCGACTAAGCTATACATTGGAAGGGTTAAAGGTACCTTAGGGTTCGGTGCTACATAGCTACAGACAATAAGAGACAGAAAATGTGGGAAGAACCAACTGATATTATGTAAATTCAAGCAAGCTAATTACTAACGAATAGTAATAAGGGAATAATTAATAGCTAAATGAGATCACTTTTTACTCTTTCCACTTTGTGCAAATAAACTTACAAAATGTATTCCCCCCCTGACTACAATTGTGTATCCACATCTCACACAAACCACTGTTACCCAAGAGCCACACACCTGTTAATGGTTACAGCTGTCGCAGCAGCAGCTTACATACCTTCTCTCACATAGCTGGAGGAGTCATAGTAGCAGACCAGATTGGAGGCGGCTTCAGTGCCAGCCACAAGGAGGCACGCGACAGACGATAGCCACAGCAACAGCTTCATTTCGCACTCGGATATTAATGCACAACCGCAGCGCCGATCAAATGAAATCGAACTAACTAAAGTCGCAGCCTAAAGCTGAAAATGAAACTGAAATGGAAACCGAAATCGTAACAAAACGATAAGCAATGACAACACACAAAAGCTCAAGCAAGCAAAGCTTTGCTTGCGGAGAGACAGAAAGAGAGAGGGAGAGAGAGAGCAAGAACAGACACGAGTCGAGTCTGAGTCTGAGTCCGACTCTGAGTCGATTCCGTTTCAAGTTTTGTTTACTTATTCTCGCAATGACTTAATGGAGTGTACAGCTCAGCTAATGACGAGACTGGGGGACTGAGGGTCAAGTGTATGAGGCCATTCGGAATCGAAAATAAAAATACTTAGAGTAAAAACAAATTAGAAGCATTGAAATGCGTTCGCTGATTAGAATTTACAATTATATTTTGCAATCACACTCAGAACGTACAACTGTAGTGGAAAGCGCCCATTTAGCCCATGAAATATTTAATAGAACGTATTATTGGAAACTTCTGGCCGGTGCAGAGGCCCCGAAAGTCATCGTAGCCCAGATCGAACACCGCCATGCCGCCGAGTCCCCTGTTCTTGGCATACACCGCCTTAATGCCCGCAAAGTCCGGATCATCGTAGCTTAGCCACAGGCCATGATCGCCATTCTCATCGGCCGGACGTAGAGCGTAGTTTCCGTATTTCTGTGTCAGATCTGTGACTTTGCGCAGCGGTGCTGTGGCTCCCCTATACACAGCTGTGGAGTTTTGTGCCAGTTTCGAGCAAATCTCCGGCCAACTGAGCAAACCCTCGGCACTGCCAATCTGTAGGCCACCTGGAGCAGGTCCATAGGTTTCAGGCACCACAGGCAGGCCACTCAGACCGGAATCCTTGGTTAGTTGCCAGGCACGGCCATAGCTGGCGATTCCCAGATGCAGTTTTTGGGCAGGACAATGATTTTGCAGCCAATAGTTGACCTGAAACTCGACATTCAAATGGGGCAGGCGATTCTGCTCTTCCGGCTGGAAGATGGGTGCGGTATAGTCGGCCTCTTCGGGATTACGCGTAGGCGTGTGGAAGTCAAAGGCGGCCAGATTGATGTAGTTTAGTTTGGGATGCAGCTTGGGGACATCAAAGTACCCTAAACGCAAAGGAAATAATATAATAAATCATGAAGCTCCATTGGAGATCCCCTTCTACTTACAAGTGGCATTCACATTGGGCAGAACAGTCAGCGTTAACATCAGATTGGCATTGCTGAAGGCAGTGTGTAGATTCGCCACCAGATCCGTAAACTGTGACTTGTGCTGCTCCGCTTGGGGATCCACAATAAAGTCTCCCGTGAAGAGCTTCTTGAACTGCTTCCAGTAGCCGCCAATGGATCCGTGCACCTTTCTGGGCTTATTCCGGGGCAGCTGGAAGGCCAGATCCAGGCCATCGAAGCCATTCCGCTTCAGCAGTATCATGCTGCTGTCGATGAAGTTCTGCTGGATGGTGCGATTCGCTTCGAGCAGTTCCACATATTTATTTGGATGCGCCATATCCACATCATGATCACCGCCCACACTCAGCAGAATCTTCAGTTGGGGGAATCTGGCGTGCAGATTCGTTATGTCCTTGTAATGGAACATGTCCAGATCCACGTTCAGGCTGAAGAGCTCATTGGTGCCGGGCTTGAGACCCGCATAGCCATAGACCAGATGAGTGCAGAACTGCAGGGCCAGCTCCAGATCGTTGGGCACCAGCTTACCCAGACCCTGACGCAGATACGAGGCCGAGTCATAGTAACAGATCAGATTGCTGGCAGCGCGTGTCAGATCGGTGAGGCTGAGCAGCCCCAGTAAACAGAGCAAGGGTAATCTCATTTTCCGTGGAGATATTTGTACAGCAGACATATGTACGTCCTGACGTTATGACTGAATATTGGCAACTGTCTGGCGGGAATTCACTTTCAGAGCTTTTGAGCTCTCAAATCTTTGGCTCTGCTTCACGCGTTGCTTATCTTCATTTCACACAGAGAGTGCCAGCGAGTGTGTATGGATGCTGATGCTGATGATGCCATTATCAGGTTTTCAGGTATTACGTAGTTCCTGTCATTTGTTTTGCTCCGTGTTTAGCAGTAAATAAACTTCTAGAATTATGTTGTGACTCAACTGGAAGTTTGGGGTCGGGGTACATTTGGATGTACTTTTCACGCTGCCAGTAAACCTTCAAAGAAGGCATTTCAAAGATTCTTAGTGTGTCGAAAACAGGAAATAAAGCGATGCTCTGTTACAAGTTTCTATGCCGATAATTCTACCATAATCTGACATCGTTTAGGCTGCCCAAAACCAATGGTTCTGTGGGCTTATTTGCCTGCTTGAATTTATTCTTTCCTTCTATTTCTTCATGATCCATTTTGGGGGTTCACTTTTTACGCAGCATCATCATTATCATCAATGTGAAAGACTTTCAATTAGCTGGCCCCGAGCTGATCTTTAAGATACTTAGACGAAGGGCAAAGGCAACCTGCTGGGCAGCTTCTGATGCACGAAAAGGTTGCCGACCAAGCAGCAGCTGTCTGGGTCTGGGCTCTGATCTTTTGGGCCAACGACGTCAACGGGGAGGCACTTAAATCAAAAATCAATTGAAGCATTAAATACCCAAAACAAAGCCCCGAAAGATGTTACGCTGTGTGCTGTGCTGTGTCTACAAGTAGTCTGGGGCCCAAAAGCCGTACAAGGACGTGGAACACAGTGGAACGACAGCTAATGACAACAGTCACAACAATGGACAATGGGGGGGGGGGAATGGGCATGGGATTGCGTATGTGGATCTGATGAGGTAGCATGATGCTGGATGGCGTATGTGACACAACCAATTATACAAAGGACATGGAGAGAGTCCTGCAAAAGAATGCGAAATAATCCTCACACGCTGCTTAGCGTTGACAATGGGGCGGAACAGAGCCAAAACTGAACGAGTCGTTGCGGGGCGGGGCTCAGGCTCAGGCTCACAATGGCAGAGGCGTGTTCGTGTTGAGAGGCAGGCAGGCATTATCCTCAATGTCCTCCGATTTCGAGTGTGTGCTCTGTACATTTGTGTGTGTGTGTGTCTGTGCTATCTGTATCTGTGTCTCTCATTGTTGTTTGATTTATATCAACGAGCCGCAGCGGCATGCATCAAATCATCCCATTGTCTGCTCACACCCTCATATCTCTCTCTCTCTCTCTCTCTGTATCTTTGTGCAGCAGATAAAATAGGTCAAGCCGCTCCTGACTGTCGCTATTTTTGGTCAGTCCGAATGGCAGAATGATGTCCACTGTCTAATAACCACAAATCTCTGTGTGGGATAAACTATGGTTTACCCGTTTTGCTTTTTGTTTGCTCGCCGTCCATTTGGTTAGTTTCAGTATCATCCATCCATCAGTCAGTCAGTCAATGTGGGGCAAATAGAAACCAATGCCAAATAGTTAAATGTGTGAAATTAATGTGCTAAATGAGGAGATTGTATTACATTTATGATCTGTGCTGTTTGACTTTCATTTATTTAATGTGATTTGATGGACTTTCGTGGGGCGGAAATATTTGGGGTATATTTTGGGGGAAGGTTATTGGGGTTTTTCCGTTGTAGGGATTTTTGCTTAATTACTTTGTACTTAAACTGTACAGATAAGAATGGTTAAAAGCAGATTTTAGAATTGTTTTTCCTCAATCTTCATCTGTATCTGCCTTGGCTTCACTCTCTCCTTTGTACAGTGTCTGAGGATCATAATTTAAGAACTACTAAGCCATCGCTTACATTACTTTTATTATTACAATTATTACTGAACCCTTTTCAAACGTAAATAATCTTAAGTACTCTTATAATGGCTCTCCAGCTTAAGGTATTTTGCCTTCCCGCTCAAAAGCTGGTCACATTGTGCCACTCAAAGAAGAAAAAAAAAACTCCCCATCCTTTTGCCAAAAACTTGAAATTGGTTTCCATTATTTGACATTCCTGGCGACTCAACTTTGTTACTCGTATAATTAAGTCCAATAATAATTTAAATAAATACCTTTACCAATTTAGGGAGCACACCCATGCCCATGCCCCATGCCCCATTCCAGACCGACGTCATGCCACCCC